AAAAAAAAAAAAAAAAAAAAAAAAAAAAAAAAAAAAAAAAAAAAAAAAAAAAAAAAAAGAAAAGTTGACAACGATGACGATACGGAAACAACGTAACGGAGAAAAAAAAGGAGCAGTGGAGGCGTGACAAAAACATCATTTCCACCAACGTATCCACAAATACTCGTTATACATAAGCTCGCGCGTGCTCTCATCGGTATTACTCGCGCGATCGGCAGCAGCTGCTCCTCGCCGTCGCTCCTGGCAACCACCTTGCTGCCTCTCTCCTCTTTCTCTCGCCCACACGCGCGGCTAGCAACAGAGACTCTTGTACCCTACAGATACATGGGGATGCTCGAACGGAGGCGCTTTAAATTTCCGGCAAAGGCCTTTTAAACGCCACTGCTGCATGCGTTGGCCAAATCGAGGTGTGCGTTGTAGCCCGTGAACAAAATTCAAGCTCTGATTTTCCCGTGACCAACTAGAGGCTTGTCCGTATAATATACTCTATTTTCTTTGTCGTTTCCATACCGATGGCTATACATTTTATTGCAAAACTCTATCCTTTAATATTATCGGTAACTCATTGAAAGATCACCCGTATACATTAAAAAATCGGCAATCGGCGATTCCTCTAAATGACGCGTAAAATCCACGGTTGCCGATCTCCGTGCATATAAAAACGTCCACGTTGCGTTCCAAAGCACCTTATTCTCAAAAAATAGCAAAGTCCCGTCGACATATACATACACAGCACCAACGCGTACATATCTTTATACGCAGTACAAAAGACCGATCCTTTGTGCTCTCCCGAGTAACACGCGCGGCGTGGTCCTCCTCAGGTGGGGGTGCACACAACAGCTGTTGCGTCGAAAGAGAGAGAGAGAGAGAGAGGGAAAAAAGTCTCCTACTGCCCTCGGGATATTTAAAAGGATCTCTCGTCTCTAACGCTCGCGTTGCACCTTTTCGGGAGTTTAGATGGCTTTTTTTTGGCCAAGAGGGCCGGGCAACGGCTGCAGGCACGGGAGGGACTCTCCGGGGTCGTTGATGATATGGAAAAACCGTTGGAAGGGAGGATACTTGGCGCGCGGAAAAATCGGGCTTGGGCTTTCTTGCCGGTTTTTTTTGGGCTGATCTGGGGGTTTTGAGTGGGGTATTGTGATAAACAAGGTCGTGGTTTTAATTGAACGTTTAATAAGCTACATTCATCTTGTAAATTAATTCGCAGGATCCAGTTTAGACGAATGTTTGTTATTATCTTTGTTATTGTCATTATTATTGTTATTATTGTAGTTTTTCTTTACTTATATTTATTTATTTCAGCCTCGATTGGCGGCTTAAAAACTAGTGTACATTATACTTAGCTCGGCAAACAAGTGCCCCAGTCAACATCGTTCCCTCGTTCAAAGCTCACCCTCTGGAAAAAAATGGACACCCCAACACCCCATCGACGACTTCCGTGTCTAAAAAAAAAAAAAAAAAAAAAAAAAATCACGTACTTGCCGATATTCCTCCTTACCACACCCCCAAAACCTCCGTACCTTCCCTCTTAGCGAACCACCGATTTTGATACACCGAAAGCCCAAGTAACCCCCCCCCTCCTTTCTTACCTTGAAATATACCTGCATATAAGAAAAATACAGCTGCCCAAAGTATAACAGAGCCGGTGCACCATTATTATCATCGTCAAAACACGCTCCATCACCTAAAACTGTTTTCGCCTTGCATCGAGTGGTAGTAGTGTTGTATGCGTGTGTGTCGCCCGCTTTTCACGCCAATACAGACAAGACGCGGGCCGATTAACGCACGAGACGTTGCCGCACCGGTCGCCTCCTCTCTTTCACTTCTCCTTCTCTCACCCCCGGCACACGCAGCAACGCACGGAGAGAAAGAGAGGGCCTGGGAACGCGCAAGAGACGCAGATGGGATTGCGTTTTGTTGTTGTTTAATGAAGTTTCGGAGCTCGCACCTGCCGTTTCTTGGTGCAATGCATTCTTCGCGCGGTGTATATATATACCTATGCATACAAACGAGAGAGAAGACGACCGTTACGGAAGGAACAATCCAAGGGGATCCCGCCCAAACCCAAAGTGGCGGGAATCTTTTACCGCCATGCGATTTTTTACACATTATCGAGAGAGGGAAAGGGAAGACCCGCGCGAAATATATATTATGCCAAGTCAATGGGCACTTGTTACTCTTTTTTTTTCTTTTTTTTTTTTTTTCTCTCTCTCTCTCTTTGCGTCCTTGGGATATTTACGCGGTGAACACGTGCGAGTTCTTATTATCATGTTTTATTGGCAAGTGGCGCCTTTTGGGACCCGCAGCAGCTGAATTAATTGAAATTGTTGATATCCGGGAGGATGCTGGGTTTTGGCTGCGTCTGTGTGTATGATGGTATACTTTAGGGGGTGGGTTGCCATACAGGTACTTTCAAAGGACTGTAGTATAGGAATTGAAATTTTTGTGTAGGGATATCCTCTTTTTCTTTTAATTGCCACTTTTGTGCAAATGCAATTTGATTATGGGAGTACTTATATTATATCTGATACGAGTTGCGTGTTCGTCTAGTACACGCGTCTGGTACGTAAAAACAAAGCGATCTGGTAACGCTAACAGTTAGTGTATTTATTCAACACTTTAACATTTAAACGCGTCTATTCGCCTACATGCTTTCAAGGCTATATGGTACTGACCTTCACCTCGATACATATACAAATGCGAGAAATTTTCTCCTATCTGCTTACTCATCTGTGGGCGTGTCAAGAGCAGACGGGCACTCACTAGTTCTGGGGTAAACAAACAGCAATTATACGTTTCATACTGGAAAATTGTGTTGTGTTGTTGTTTTTTTTTTTTTTTTATACTGCAATAAAAATTATTTATCAATTTGTTTGGTGACAATTTTTTTGTTTGCGATCACATTTTGTGATAGTAAAATACCACACCTATTATATTGGTTAACTTTTTAAGTAATTAAACAAACATCAAATAAACAGGGGGAAAAACAAGATCGTAATAATTCACAGCCCCAGAAATCTATTGCTATCGTAATATATATCATGATCATAATTATTCTTTGCAATGTTCCGACATTAATATTGTGATATACTTTATTACTGGTGTTAAAAAAAAAATAAATAAATAAATAAAAACAAATAAGTATATAAAATAAAAATGAGAGCACAAAATAATAACACGAAAAAAAAAAATCACCAACATATCGTGGTGTATTTTGCAGCCCCTAAAGTTTGTTACCATCATCGAATCATAATTAGATTCGTACAAAGGTACAAACCACCTTCTAACAGCCAAAAAAAAAAAAAAAGAAAAAAAAATCCCTTACCTAATAACGATCTTAACCGATTC